AAAAGTCTCGGAAAGTAGGTCTAAAAGATGCTTGTATTGGCACAAAACTTTTTTTGAAGTCAGGCTTGAGAGGATCTTTAGAAAGTTCATGGAAAAGTTTTTATTATACAAGAGCTATGCATAGATATAGAACTTTTTGTAACCCAGTAAGCTTATTTTTTTAATTCAATTTTTCCACAGATTTTTTGAACTGCCTTTGTGGGTATATGTGAATTTTTACTTTCATATTGTTCAAGAGATACTTTAATTGGAAGGTCAATTAAAGTTTCAAGAAGCATATGGTGATTACAAAGCTAATCCCTCTTGGTGATAAAAATAAAAGTTAAACTTATGCCTTTGTATTAACCAGATGGTTAATAGCAATGGTGAAGCTTTTTCAAGACTAATTATTTTATTTGAAAGGGAGAGAGAGAGAAAAAATATCCCATCTGATGTTGAAATGCCCAGGGCAGGTGGGGCTGGGACAGACCAGAAGTCAGGAGTCAGAAGCTTGTTCTGCATCTCCCAGCTGGGTGGCAGACCTGCACCTGCCAGGTCCCCAGGCGCACCCTGGCAGGCGGCTGGAGCTGCAGGGAGAGCTGAGGCTTCAACAAGCTAGGCCCTCCAGTGTAGGATACAGGCCTCCCAAATCACATAGCAACCACTAGGTCGCACACCTGCCCAAGTCTAATTTGTGTCCGAGTAAGGATGCAGGAAGCATCTTTCTAAATGTCCTTTCTTGCAGGACTCTTCATAAACAATGCTTTATTCATTTCATCATGCAGATAAACGAGAGTGCACCGTTGTGTATAGGCAGTCTTACATCTCGGGATTGGAAACCTGAGCCACCATCAAGTTCCGCCTCACAGGCTGGCAAAAAAAGTGGTCAGCAAAGCTGTAGCTTTAACCTGGTCTTGGTTCTGTTTCCAGATGAACCCAAAAGCAGCCCAGGCTGTCTTCAAGGCTCCTCCAGCTGCGCCAAGAGGCTGCAGATGAACTCCCTGTTGAACATTTCATTGTTCGCCGTGGGTTTTTAGGTTTGGTTTAATAATTGTGAGCATTGGAAGATGGGAAGGGTTTCTGTAAGAGTCAAGATTTGCAGCTTCTCTTTAAAGTCTGAGGGGTCTGAGGGCTTGCTTCTGCAGGGGCTGTAAGCAGCTGGCCCTGCTGGGCTTTTCCTTTTCCTGGCCTTTCTCAGAGCCAGGACAGGCAGCTGGCACAGCTTGTCTGTGGGATTTTGTTTTGACTATACCCGTTTTTCCAGTGCCCGGCTGCCAGACATCTCATTACTCAGGCAGTTGTAGCTCTTGCAATTGAGCCAGCTACTGTGTGGACAGGGTGTAGTCGACCAAATGGCATTGGGTCTTCTATTAGTTCAACCTAAAGATGATGCTTTTCTGTGTGTGTGAGAGGGTGGGGCTGGGGATTACACGGACATGCTAGGAGCTTTATGCCAGCAAATACTCTTCAGTTCTTTTGGTGTTCGTATCTTATTTTCTTAAAAATGCAGAACTTTTCCTTTTGGCACTGCTTCTATTTCCTCTGATTTTCAGCCTGTCAGAGAATGTCCTGTCTTGTCGTCTTGTAGATTCTGAACACTGCTTTCTGTTTTACAGTGAAAGAGGTCCCATTGAATGTCTGAGGTCCACCTGCTGACTCAGTGCTCCCTGAGACCATTCTTTTTTTTTTTTTTTTTAAGTTGTAACTGTGCCTTTTTTTTTTTTTTTTTTTTAATTTTTATTACAAAGTCAGATATACAGAGAGGAGAGACAGCGAGGAAGATCTTCCGTCCGATGATTCATGCCCCAAGTGAGCGCAATGACCGATGCTGAGCCAATCTGAAGCCAGGAGCCAGAGGCTTCTTCCAGGTCTCCCACGTGGGTGCAGGGTGCCAAGGCTTTGGACCGTCCTCGACTGCTTTCCCAGGCCACAAGCAGGGAGCTGGACGGGAAGTGGAGCTGCCAGGATTAGAACCGGCGCCCATATGGGATCCTGGCACATTCAAGGCGAGGACTCTTGCCACTAGGCCACGCCGCCGGGCCCCCTGAGAGCATTCTTTGGTTGTCACACTTAGAATGAAGGACTACACTGTCTTAACCACAGTGCTATGAAAACGAGTTAGGGCAGCTGTGAACAGGGCAGAGCCATCTAGGCTGTTGGCAGTGGTTACAGGCAGCTGTGTTTTTGGAGTGCAGCTGGCAAACCTTCAGCACGCTGGGAGGACAGGGCAGCGTGCTGTCAGGCACTGCTGTGATGTCTTCACACCACCGAGCAGTGAGGTTTCTGGCAGAGCTTGTTCGCAAGGCAGGACTCGGGATGTGCTCAACATGCAGGGTCAGACTCTGCCTTGAAGTAACCAGTGTGCACGTGTGCCACACCTCACACGTGTGCATGGCACCTGGGCAGTTTTGGCTGTGTACTTCCCACCTGATGAGTCACTTCCATTTTACTTTGATTTGAAATCATTTCATTTACAAAAATAGCTGGAAGAATGAAGAGAATTCCAGCGTATTCTTCATCAAAGTGTCACAAATGTTAACTAAGGTGTAACCACAGTACACTGAGTGATCAGATCACAGCATTGTGAAGCTGTTCTGTAACCTGCAGACCTCATGCAGGCTCGGCCAGCTGTCCCTCGGTGGCCACTGGACTCACTGCGGCATTGTGCTGTCATCTCTTCGTCTCCTTCTTAAGTTCCTGGTCCTTAGTCGTCTTCTTTTTTAATGGCATGACACAGAAGTGACACTGTGTCCTTGAGATGCCAGGAGTCCCCTGAAAGTCTCCCATTGAACATGCATTTGATTCCTTGGTTGAGGTAGCGCTTTCCTAGTTTCTCCATATTGTTACTGTTTTGCCTTAGATGTCTAGTATCTTATGGGGAAACATTTTGAGGCCATGCAAATGTTCTGTTAAGTAAACTCTTAACTTTCCAATTTTAGCATGTGCTCAAGAAACTTGCTGGAGACACTATGATTTTCTGATTCCATCACTACCTTTCAGTTGGACGTATTGTAGGGAACAGCATTCCCCTTTACCCCTGAGTGTACACTCCTGTGTCCCTCCCCACCCCACCCCAGCCCGCGTGGCTCTTCCAGATTCAGCCATTGAGAGCACTTTCAAATTGACCTGAAGTACTTTGGTCATGGCGTGTCAGGGTTGACACCACCTTCCTTTGGTGCCACAGGACCTCCCGGGCAGACACCAGCAGTGGAGTCAGCCACTCTTCTGTAGTGTTCTTTCTTTCAGGCACTTTGGCAAAGCCAGGGGCAGGTGTCTGCGTGTGTTTATGTATATACATACACGTGGTCTGTTCACCCATCCTTGTATATACGAGAACTTCTGGTCCCTGGATTTGGCTCCGTCTGTCCATTGGCATGTCTGCACATTAGAGTATATGTTAACCTCAGAATTACTGAATCCCTCTGGAAAACTAGAGTATACTCTATGCATGGTTCCTTTGGCAAATAGCTAATTTAAAAGGAGTGTTTTGATCACTACTGACAGAAAACCAAGAAGTGGCTGACAACCCAACATGTAATTAGCAGTCATTGGAATAATCGAAGACGACTATTTGCTTTGTCTCCAGGTTGACTCTGCTTACCAGTGACTGTGTTTCGTGGTCTCAGGCGAGCTGTTTAATCCTTCTAAACTTTGGTTTTCTGTTTTGAAGTTACTTTGTACTTTCTTTAGATGGCTAGCTTTTTTGGTCTGCTACACTACCAAAGCATAGGTCACATTAGTTAGGTTCATAGGCACGGTAGTCTGCACGGTCATGGTAGGTGGGTGACTGCATTGAAATTTCATGTTCTTGAAGCTCTTTCTTGATCATTTACTTATAAACTTATACCCAGGTACCCTCAGTGTTTACACATGTTAGAACTCCTCCAATACGAACACTTCCGAAAGGAGCTGGTGAACGCTCAGTGCGCCAAGTTTATTGACGAGCAGCAAATCCTACACTGGCAGCACTACTCTCGGAAGCGGATGCGCCTGCAGCAAGCCCTGGCCGAGCAGCAGCAGCAGAACACGTCAGGAAAGTGAGGCGCCTCAAACAGGCCAGACTCTTGGACATGTATATAATGTATTTGTTTTGCACAGTGTACCTACCTCTGTCATGGCAGCACCTACGAGGTTCAGTGTGCCGTTAATCCAGCTTTTTATTGTAATAGAGAATTTCTATTAAACCAGCTTGTTCTACTTTGGTTTCCCTGTGTTTTTATTAGCTTCTCACATCTTCAACTGAATACACATGGGAAATGCGACGCCTTGGGGCTGAAGGAAGCAGAAGGACATGGAGGGTACAGACGCCAGCTTGGTCTTGGGAAGTCCACCTGCTGGAGCCTTGCTGTCTTTCACACGGGCTGCTTCCTGACAGGAGGGGACTGGACTCAGTGCTCTCTCCCAGCATGGAATGCAGCAGAGCACACGCGCATCAACTCCTGCTCTGCAACTCGGCTGGGTCAGTGTTCAGGAAGAAGTCTGGTGAACCACAGCCTGGACTCTCTGTCTTAAAACTACAACAGCCCTGGAGCCTCCCAGCCCCGGACTCCCGCTCTGCTCCTGAGGGAGTTAGCTGCTTCCTGGCATTCTAAAGAAGCAGGTTTGGGAACTTGCCTATGGTCATGCTGCAGGACCCTCCCACTCACGTGGTTCCTCTGCTCCAAGAACCAAACCACCTGAAGCCGGCTGAGACCGGGCAGGGCTTGTGTGCCCTGCAGCATTGGTTTGTAAGCTCAGCTTCCCGCAGCCAAAGGCGGGGTGTTGAAGGTGATGTACTGCTTCGTAAATCCACAGAATCTAACCTAACAAGATCTGTATTCCTGTAACAGAGCTTTGGCCGTTGTTGGCTACGCTCTGGGGGACATTAGGTATTTGTGCCCTAATAACATTTCCTCTAGCTGCCACTCCAAAGGCTTACTTTGTTTCTAAAAAAATTTTCCCATGTTACCAGCACACAGAAGGTTCATGAATATTTTAATAGTATTTTCTGATATTGAGACACCCACTGATTTTTTTTTTTCAGTACTTGTTCACTGCTAACAATGAATACAATGCAAGCATGCCTTTATCATTTCTTTTATAACCGTAGTGAATCGGGACACAGTTGCCACATCAAATGTTAGTCTTCAGACAGCAGCATCTCCACCAGGCTGGCCTCCAGGCACTCGGATTCCACCAACTTCTGAGGCTGCAAAAGTACAATCAGGTATTAGGCCTGCTGCAAACCGTGGGAGGAGTGGCGTTCTGCCCCGACTGACCCAGGGAAGCCAACCCGTCGCAACAAGTCTTATGAACAAGACAAGTCAGTAAAAATACTTGGCTTGCGGGGATTGAGGCAGGAGCCCGCCAGCTGCTTCCTGTCACACCTTTAATCCAGAACCCCTGAGGCGCGAGATACCCTTTCTTTTCCACTAGAATTGCGGATTAAACCAGAAATAACCACTGATGCGCTTGTGCTAAGTATGAGTCAAGCCAACTTTCTGACTTGAGTCTTCAGAGAAAAGCAAGCTAAAAACCACGAAAAAGACCAAATACTTAGATACTTGCATTGTTTAGTTCACTGAGGGCCAGCCAAGTTGTTAATATGCCCTAAACAATGTGATGTTTGAGGCAAAAAAAATCATCTTTTTCTAGTGTGCCTGCAGAGCAGATTAAAGAGGTGTGCGCAACAGCCCCCTGCCATTGAAGGAAATACTCACTGTTCCATATTTAAGGAGCGTAGGCACTGCCGTTATCTTCAGCTTTTTCCTAAACTCATTATTGGGATCTTTCCAACTATTCCAAAAAGAAAAACAGGACCATGAAAAACTTTACTTTTGTCCATAGTCTATAAATCCCTACACTTAGTCTTTGAACAGTCATTAAAAAAAAAAAATAAAAGCACCCTTGTAGTCTTTTAACTTACCAAATGCCCCTTGCAACAAATGAATGCATTTTCACTTAAAGTCATGACTAAGAAACTGGCCGGGAAGCCAGTTAAGTCTTGAACTCACACCACCCCAAGTTCATCAAATTGCCCTTTAAGTGTCTGAATGTGCTTTTTTATTTCCTCTGTAACAGCTCCCCTTGGCCGAGCCCCTCGGGGCCTCTCTGGCCACCTCCCCCCGCCACGTCCAACGCCACTTACTAAGGTCTGTCTCCCACTTGGCAGTAGATGAACACACACCCTTTCGTAGCGTGCTTCAGCGCCTCCTGCACGACTGGCTCAGCTTTTATAAAGTTAACATAAAGTAATTAATGGCACACGAACTCCCAACTCCGCAACTCTCCGCTGTCCCCCACCCCCTGTGTAACCAAGCACTCAGACTTTGACCCCAAGTCAGCCAGTGAACTGAAGTCAACCAAGTCGGGAGGAGGCCCGGGATCCCGAGGGCCCCCCAAAATGGGTGGAAGGCTGTAGTAAAAGAACTGGACTCCAAGAGGATCTGGGGGGAGGCAGGACGGTGCACAGGGGACCGAGGGGAGCCCGGGGAGGGAGGGGAGCACGGGGGAAGGAAGGGGAGCCCGAGGGGGCAGGAAGGGAACTGGGTGGGGGGAAGGAGGAGAGCCCGGGATGGAGGGGAGCCCGGGGGGGAAGGAGGGGAGCCCGGGGGAAGGAGGGGAGCCCGGGGAAGGAGGGGAGCACGGGGAAGAGGGGAAGGAAGGGAGTCCGGGAGGAGGGGAGCCTGGGATGGAAGGGACATCTCGGGGGAAGGAGGGGAGCCCGGGGGAAGGAGGGGAGCCCCGGGAAGGACGAGGAGCTCGGGATGGAGGGTTCCCGGCCGCGCCCCCGCCGCCTCCCCGGCCCGCGCGCCGGCTGCAGCCCCGGGCGCACCCTCACCCTTGACACAATCGGGACACCAGCTCTTCCCTTCGGCGTCCTTAGACCCAGAGAAATAGGCGAAAACGGTCTTGTCCTTGTGCTCCTCCACGGCCCGGTTGAACTCCTCGAAGCCAGAAACGCGCACAACCTCGCAGTCGGCCATCGGGCGAGCGCGGAGCCGGACGTGGCTCTAGTGGCCGGGCCCGCGGCCCACAAGAGGCGGGGCGGGGCGGCTTCCGGGGGCGGGGCCGGGGCGGGGCCAGCGCGGGGCGGGGTGGGGCGGCTTCCGGGTGGTCGAGGGGCGGGACCAGCGCGGGGTGGCTTCCGGGTGGGCGGGCGTGGGGCGAGGCCTGCAGGCGCCTGAGGCGCACGTCCCCGCTACGGGAGCCTCCGGAGTTCATAACTGACCCGCACCGTTCGTGTCTTCTTGTGTCTTGGTTCTTTCGGCCCCAGTTCCACTCTCAAACCTAGGCTTCTGCCGTGATTTTGGTCCCGGTCCCGACCCCAAGGGTACGAGCTGCCAGACCTGACCCTGTGCTACACCCGGATCCTTTAGAGTCGGGCGCCTCAACGGCTCCCAGGTCGCTCCGCGCCTGTTGCTATGGCGACTGGGCGAGCGGCCGGAAGCAGGGCCTAGTTGGGGGCCCCTCACCCGCCACTCCCGTCTCGGAGTAGCCGTGTTCGCCCCGGGCCAGGTGGGCTGGGTGTGGAGCTGGGGGGACCCTGGGAAGTCCTGGGCGCGGGCGGAGAGGAGGCCTGGGCGGGGAGGAGAGGCCTGGGCCCGGGCAGACCCCGCGTCCCTCCCGTCAGCGCTGAGGGGGAGCCGGGGCTGGGGGCGGGCGTCTGCGACGGGCGGAGGCGGGGAGCGGGGGGCTGGGAGGCCGAGCGGCTGCGAGGGCCGAGCGTGAGGAGTGCGTGTGGACAGAGTGGCCGCCGTGTCGTGGGGTTCCTGCAGCCGGGCGAGTGGCCGCGCGGGCGGGCGGGCAGCGATGCCGGGTCGTTGCGGGGGCCCCAGCAAGTCCGGGCGGGTGGCCCGGCGGCTGTGGGGGAAAAGATGGGGTGCCGGGCCCTGTCGAGGCCGTGGAGCCAGGCACCGGGCGAGGACCTCGGTCGGGGAGACGCGCTGTGTGGGTGCAGAGAGCAGGCGAGGCCGGCGGCGGCCTTGGGGGAGGAGACGAGCTGCGGAGCCCACGGACCCCGCTGCCGCCGGTGCGGAGGACGAGACAGCCGGGAACGCAGGCCCCATGGAGGCTGCAGGGGATCCCAGAGCCGTGTGGGTGAACGGAGCCGTGGGGGAGCCCCAAGTGGTGGGGCCGGTCGGCTCCGTGTGGGTGACTGGGTCCGTGCAGGAGGAGGAGTCGGACGATAGCAGCCTCCGGGGCTGCGACAGGAAAGGCCAGCCGAGCTCCACGGGGCACGAGAGCATCCTGGAGCTGTGGCTGAAGGTGCGCGCTATGAGGGCGGCTTCAGGCTGCACGGAAGGAAGCCGAGTGGAGCTGCATCCTGTCGCCGCAGGGGAGGGACCCGTGGAGCTGGGAGTCCCTGGCCGGGCGTCGTGGGTGGAGACCAGCCGCTGTGGACTTACCGGACCCTGGGTGAAGGGACAGAACAGGGCCTTCCCGCTGGCCACCGCTGCTGTCCTCTCTATGCCTGACAGGTTAGGGGCAGGTGGTGCCCGCAGCTTCTGTGGGCAGGGACAGGTGGGCAGAGTGCCACCTCCTCCCCGTGTACCTGGCCATACGGAGGAGGCCGGTTCTGAGATCACCACACAGGTCCAGGGGCTGGGACAAGCCATGCAGGTGCCTAGAGCTGGAGAGGAGGCAGGCTGTGGGGTGGTCCAGGGCTGCTGGGGGAAGGGGCAGAGTGCGGGAGTGCGTGAGGCGCTGGTGGGACAGAGAGGCTGTGGGGGAACCCCGCCACTGTGGGAGAGGGGGCAGTCAATAGAGGTTCCCAGGTTACTGGCACAAGAGGCCATCTGTGGGGATATCCCAGGTTTGTGGGGTAGGAGCCAGGCCATGGGTGTGCCTGATGTTGTGGGGGTCCCCAGAGATGTGAAGAAGGACACGGCCTCGATGGGCGCCCCAGGCCTGTGTCCCAGCAGGCAACAAGATGAGGATGTGGGCCCTGGGATGATCCCTGCCTTGTGGGGCACAGGACAGCCCGCCAGGATACCCTATGGTACAGAAGGGGAAGCTCGCTGTGCGGGTGACCCCAGATTCAGGGAACGTGGACAGACAGTGTGGGTAGAGACAGGCTGCAGGGGTGGCCCCGAGTCGTGGGCAGCTGTGCAGGGTGCAGAGCTCTGTGGTTCCGGAGGTGGCCCAGGAATGTGGGGAGCCAGGCAGCCGCTAGAAATGTGCCAGGCTGGCCTAGTCATGGCAGAAGAGAGCAGCTGCAGTGATGTGGCGAGGCTATGGGACAGGCCGCAGGCTCTGGAGGCATCTCCAGCTGAGGCGGTGGCTGGGCTTGTCCGGGAGGAGACACACAGTGGGGACACCCTGCGGGTTTGGGAAAGGGGGCAGGGCATCGGGCAACAAGAGGTGCCTGTGCCTGCAGCAGCTATGCGTCAGCGGGCAGGTTGTGGGGACATCTCCTGCCTGTGTGGGACGGGACAGGCGTTAGGGCTGTCGGAGACAGGGGCAATGCCCACAGCTGCAACTGCGCCCAAGCACAGATGTGCCGCTATAGCTGGGGTTTGCACAACTCTGGGGGGGCCCTCCAGAGTGCCCACTGCCGCATGGGCATGTGAGCCTGTCTGCCAGGAGGGTGGCTCCAGTGGTGTCTGTGACCTGTGGGGAAGGGCTCATGTTGTCGCCAGACCCCCAACTTCAGGGGGGCCCATGGCTGCTGAGGACCTGTGGTCCTTAGGGCAGGATCCCTGTTCTGGAGCTTTCCCAGGTTCCTGGGGACCAGGACAGGCAATCGAGGCACCTGGGCTGCTTATGGAGGAACCCAGCTCTGAGGATGTCCCGAGGTGTTGGAGAAGGAGGCTGAGTGACGGGGTTCTCATGGCCCACCAGGGGTCCTCAACCCCTGGGGCATTTGCAACCCTGGAGGCAGAGACTGGGCCTGGTGGCTTTTCAGAGATGCTGGGAAGGAGAGTGACCACCGGCATACCTGTGGCTGCCAGGGTAGCCATAGCTGGAGGGGTACCAGGGGCTCCCAGGATGCCCCAATGTGTGCAGGATGAAGCTGGCTGCAGCAGCATCTCTGGTTTGTGGGGGAGGAGAGAGACAGTGGAGGGCCAAACAGATGCTAAGGGTCCCAGGAAGGCAGGGGCACCTGCCTCTGTCAGGCCGTCTGGACTTACGGGGGAGAAGACTGGCCCAGGCGCGTGGTGCTGGACAGGAGGGAGGCAGCAGGCTTGGGTGCCTTCGGCTGCTGGGGCAGACATACTGTCAGGGCGGGTCCTGGGTGGGTTGGGAAGAGCACAGTCTGCAGAGGTGCCTGTGGTTGCAGGTGCTTCTGGGCTGCCGGAGCCAGTGGTGGGAGATGGGAACTCTGATGACAGCCAGGGTGTATGGGGCAGGAGAGCAGCCACCGAGGCGCCCACTTTTGCTGGGGCTCCGGTGTCTGGGGAAGATGTCTCCAGCCTGCGGGGGAGGAGGCATAGCGGAACAGCCCCTGGGGCGGCGAGGGTACCCCTGCCTGTGGAGGTGCTTGCTGCTGTAGGGGTGCCCACAGCTGGGCATGCACCCTCTGCGGTGTGGGTGACCGCGTCCACAGAAGACGAGGCAGGCGCGAGTGTCTCAGGCCTGATGGAGGGGAGGACTCGGGCCTCCGAGGGAGCATCATGCTCACAGGAGATCGTGGGGGGTCCTGCAGGGAAGAGACGGGCCATGGGAGTATCTTCCAGCTGTGGGCATGGGGCCAGGTTAAGGAGTGGCCCGCGTTGTGTACATGAAAAAATAGTGCCTGAGGATGTGCCAGGAACATCAGGGACGAGTAGAGCAACTGTGGGTATACCCCCAGTTTCAAGGGAGGAGAAGGGCCTGAGCCGTCTCAGAGATGGCTCCCAGCAGAACTGGGGGGCACATGTCGGAGAGGTGTGTAGTCTCAGAGTAAGGGGGCATGGTGTGGGGGAGACTTACATGGGGGAAGACAGATTGAGGGGGTCTTTTCAGTAGGGTTCATAGAGAGCGAGTTGGGGGGTGTCCTGGGGTTCTGGGAGGGAACAGACTTGGGGGAGGGTTAGTCCTGGGTTGTAGCTGAAGGCATTGGCTGGGGGGTTTGTCAGGATGTGGGGAGATACCCCAGGTCATTCAGGGATGAAACAGTGGGAAGTGGATCGGTGGTGAAGATAGGGGCCACCCAGGACTTTACGCAGGGGAGCAGCAGTTTTAAGGGTGTTCCTGGATCCTGTGTGTGTGTGCGTGTACATGTGTCTGTAGACATGGGTGTCGTGTCATGACATGTTCTGGAACCATGGGGATGGCCTCGCTTTCTCCTAGTGGCGTGGACCGTTGGCCTCTAACACATGGAGGGCATCAAGGGGAAAGGACCAACCCCATGGAATTCGCAGAGGCCCCCACTCTGCAGACTGCGTGTCGCCACCTCCACCCCCACCTGTCATGGCGTTCGTCCAGTCGGGATTGCCTCACTCGAGTACCTGCCGTCTGCTTTTCTGATCATGATCTACAGCAACAGAATAAGCGAGCGTGGACGGCTGCCGTTACACTCCAATGGACATGCCGGTCTTTAAGGAAATCCTGTCTCCCAGCCCTGGATTTACTCAAAAGCTGAAATTAGGGAGTTTTGTGTATGTTTGTGTGTGTCTGTTTTTGTTCTTTTTCTTCTAACCTGCAATTTCCCAATTGGTTTACTATAGGTTTCTTTGAGACAGATTTGCCAGGGCATTTAAAACTAGGCAGTTCACAGAACATCAGCTTAACACATTTAAATTGTCCAGTGTGCTCAGACCTCTGAGTTGTGAACAGCAGAGGAGCAAAACCCAAGCCCTCCTCCTCCTCAAGGAACAGCCGCTGCTGTGCAGCTGGGACCGCGAGATATTTCCCCGTGTGACAGGTAAGCCATGGGCGACCCTGGCGCGGGTGGGCAGGTCCCGGGGGACGCACTGATGCAGGGTGGCAAGGCCTTCAGCATGCGAAGAGGCCGTGGTAAATGGGGTAGCACTGCTTTCACATGGCATGTGTGTTGGGGTGGCAGGAGGCTGGGCTAGCGGAAGATGGGGAGACTGCAGATTGAGGGGCCCTTCCTGGGTTAAAACTAAGGATT